CTTTTTTCCCCCCCATTTCTTTCTTTCTTTCTTTCATTCCTTCTTTCTCTCTCTCACTCTCTTTCTCTCTCTCTCCCTCCCTCCCCTTCTCTCCATCCTCTCATTCTCTTCTTTCTCTTGCTCTCCCTCTCTTCTCTCTCTCTCTCTCTCTCTCTTTCTCTTCTTTTGCACTCTTTGATTGTACGCATCTTTGATCATACACACGTGATTGGTCGTGCGCTTCCATTCCTCGATAAGTACGTGTAATACCACCTACAGTTCACCTTTATTTTTCACCCACGAACTCGTTCCCTCTCGAGTATCCCTGTGTGCTACGCGGCCGCGGATCGATACCGTTCCGCGGTTTTTCGCGGTTTTCATATCGCGTGGAAAAGAGCGTACGCTCGAATTATACCGCATTGAACCCAATCGAGCCAATTAGAATTTTAAATTTCTCATTGTTGGTTTGCCGCCAGATTCGAATCGAGATTAACAGCAGAAAGGAATAGGAGGATAATCACGAAGAAAGGATAGCCGTTGTTATCGTAGCGTTTAAGCTAAGAGAAGAATAGATAAGGGACGAGTCGAGAGGGAAAGTGTTTCGCGTGAGAAACGTGTCCGCTAAGTCACACACTTCATTTTTTTCGCTGCCCGTAGGTATAATATAAAATTATATTTACAACAGAGTGATCTTTTTTCTTTTTTTTTTTTTTCTTTTCTTTTCTTTTCTTTTCTCGTGAGGTATTCGCTCTACATGCATCTAAAGAGTGTACAAGTATATCGGGAAGCGGAGAAGGGAGATTGGCGCGAGAATTTGAAATAGAATCGCTTCCTTCCATCGTCGTTTCATTTTATCTTTCTCTTTGCTCTCTTTCTCTCTCTATCACTCTTTCTCGTGTACACCTCGTATCTTCGTGTAAATCATCGGCGATATGAGACGCGGTCTTCTTTATAAATAATTTAAAAATTATATATTTTATATGTGTATATATATTAAATCGATTCTCTCTGTGATCTTATTTTTTTCTTTTTTTCTTTCTCTTTTTTTTTCGTTTTTTTTTTGCTTTTTTTCTCGTCTTTTGCTCGTCGTTCGGTCCACGCATCATTCATTAACTCTCTCACACACACACATACACATACATACGCACGCACGCGCGCACGCACACGCGAGAAAGTCTGATAACGATATGATACAGCTGCGCTATATCAGGAGTGATCCTGACACACTTCTCCCTTCCTCTCTCCCTTCGCTTCTCGTATAATTTAATATTTACAACGGGGTCATTCGCGAATAATTTATTCGTTTTTCTTACATTTATAGTATGTATACTTATACTTGCATCTGTATGTATATATATATATATGTATGTATATTTATATGTATATGCATATGTACCAGCGTGTGCCTGTACAGCCTATAATAAGAACACTGTCCCTTGGTTATCCGTCACATCTTGGTCTGTCTCTCTGGTAGCGTGATCGAGGCGCCTCGCGAGCGGAAAATCGTGCGACTACCGGTAGTTACGAGTCTATCCTGACACGCGTGTATAATAGAAGAGGAAACACGTTAATAATCATTACGAAAAAGAACAAAAGATTATCGTTTAAGAAAGGAATAGGCTAAGAAAAAAAGACTACATCCCCCTAAAAAAGAAGCGTGTATTATTAACGGTCGCTCAACGTCGTGTATCCTCTTCTCGTTCTTTCTGCGAGGAAAAGGGTCTTCGAGACGCGACTTCATGGTTTCATCAAAAAGAATTGTTTCCCCTCTATGCAAGAAACGATAAGTTATTGTAAGCTTGATCTTGATTTGACGGAAAAGGAAACACATCGCGACACACGAAAAGTTATGCAGCCGAGGTTGCAGATAATGTTTCGCGGGTCGAAGCTTTGAGAATGTGGGACGAAATGCAGTAGAAAGGGCTCGCAGAAGGAACGCTATGTATTCTCTTTGCAAGAAGCATTAAGGCATTTGCCTCTTTCCCTCGTTCTCCTTTTTTTCTTCTTCTCCCCTTCTCTCTCCTTCCTCTTTCTCTTTTTCTTTCCAATGGTTTTTTCTGATTGAGACGCGCCGTGACCTCACACGAGATTGCAAAAATAGGAGCTGCTCCCTTTGAGCATTCGCGTTCGAAAAGCTTGTCTCTTGTCCACGTAAATGCCATCCTGGATGATCATCGTAACTTGGTTATTAATTGACGAAGAAAAATTGCGACTCGATTAACGTAGTACGTTTTAAACGTTTAGAAAACGTTACATTGGTGTAAAACTACCGATGTGCGTGTATTGCTACGAATCTTTATCTTTCTTTTCTCTCTCTAAGTGCTTCGAAGTATTGTTATTATTTTTCTTCTTCTTCTTCTTCTTTATTTAAGTGCTAATAATGTTACAATTCGATTGATGCTGATATCGCGTTGTGGAATGTGCAAGAGCACGTGGGCGAATTATACTTCTTTCTAACGTATATATTAATCAATGGCAGTCTTGGCAGAATTATTTAGGATCGTTTTGACAGTGAATCGGTTTCGTCTTCCTCAATTGTATCTTTCGATTCTAATTCGTAGAATCGTCTTCTTCCCGAAAGTCGCACGTCTCACACGAAATTCGTTATTGTTAAAAATCATTCTCGCGAGTAGCTCTACTTTCGTATATAAATTACAAACTAGAAGGCTAAAAAGTCGAAGTTATCTTATTAGCATCCTTTGGTACCAGCCTGAGTCTCGTTAGATTACAAATAATTTGTTAAATAGTCTTGCTAAATCACTAAGAGATCACTGTTTCCTGTGAGTGTTCTGTTCAGTTTCCTATAATACGATTTATATATGTATAATATACTCTCTCTTGCTATTGCTCTTGCTGATATTCACT